TTCTGGTTAGATTTATTTCTTCCAGTTAAAGACAGGTGAATCAAAGACCTTTTCTGGTAAGATTTATTTCTTCCAGTTAAAGACGGGCGAATGAAAGACCTCTTTTGGTTAGATTTATTTCTTCTATTTAAAGACAGGCGAATCAGAGAACTCTTCTGGTTATATTTATTTCTTATATTTAAAGACACACGAATCAAAGACCTCTTCTGGTTAGATTTATTTCTTTCAGTTAAAGACAGGCGAACAAAAGATCTCTTCTAGTTAGATTTATTTCTTCCAGTTAAAGACAGGCAAATTAAAGACCTCTTTTAGTTAGATTTATTTCTTCCAGTTAAAAACAGGTGAATCAAAGACCTCTTGTGGTTTAGATTTATTTCTTCCAGTTAAAGAAAGATGAATTAAAGACCTCTTCTGGTTAGATTTATTTCTTCCAGTTAAAGACATGTGAATCAAAGACCTCTTCTGGTTTAGATTTATTTATTCCAGTTAAAGATAGGAAAATCAAAGACCTCTTCTGGTTAGATTTACTTCTTCCAGTTATCAACAAACAAATATCATCAACATTTCTCAATTAGGTCAGAGATTAATTCTCTAAACAAGCCGGGGAAACTATCTCTATAACCAACAAAAAGCGGGTTCCAGATTAATACCTGAAATAAGACAGGAGAACTATATGTGAATAAATGATTGTAGATCAATTCCCGAAACATGACGGGGAGACTATCTACATGACACATTCTTCCTTCAAGACATCTATTGGTCCAAATTAAATCGACCAATGATTTATCCTGATTCCGTTCTGGTAGACACTTTTGCTGGTTCAGTTAAATCGCTCTGAAGAATTATATAGATTCGTTATCCAGTTAAAGACAATTTCAGATCTCTGTTGGTTCAGTTTAAATCGACCAATGATTTATCCTGGTTCCGTTCCGGTAGACGCTTTCTCTGGTTCAGTTAAATCGCTCCTAAGATTTATACTGATTCGTTATCCAGTTAAAGTTCATTTCAAGACCTCTTCTGGTTTAGTTTAAATCAACCAATGATTTATCCTGATTTCATTCTGGTAGACACTTTTTCTTGTTTAGTTAAATCGCTCTGAAAATTTATACTGATTCGTTATCTAGTTAAAGATTATTCAAGACATCTACTGGTTCAGTTTAAATCAACCAATGGTTTATCCAGATTCCGTTCCGGTAGACACTTTCTCTGGTTCAGTTAAATCACTCCTAAGATTTATGCTGATTCGTTATTCAGTAAAAGATTATTCAAGACCTCTGCTGGCTCAATTTAAATCGACCAATGATTTATCCTGATTCTGTTCCGGTAAACACTTCATCTGGATCAGTCAAATCGGTCCTAAGATTTTATGATTCTTATCCAGTTAAAGACAAATACAAACATCTGTTGTTTCAAGATAAATCGACCAAAGATTTATTTTGATACTTCTTCCAATATCTATTAACAATTACTTTTGAGGGCATCTGTAAGCCCATCACAGGTTCCTTCATTACCTGTTGAAGTAGTAGTTGTCACAAATTCCTTCATTACCTGTTGAAGTAGTAGTCATCACAGATTCCTTCATTACCTATTGAAGTAGTAGTCGCATAAAAATCAAGTCAAGCATTATACTTACCAACAATCACTCCTGGATGGCATCTATAAGCCCATCTTCGACGACTCCCCATCACTTTTGGATGGCATCTATAATCCCATCTCTGACAATATTTCATCGCTCTCTAAATGGCATCTTTAAGCCCATTCCCGATGCAATTAACCAACGGTATTGCTTCATGCACCGGCAAGTGAAAATTTTTGGGCACTTAAGTGTTCAATCATCTTCTACCTTAAAGTCGTGAATGATGGACACGCCATTCTGACTTTTCAGGTTTAAGAAGATTGAATAGGGGCAACTGTTATATCCCAAAATTTGCCCTTTCCTTTCATTCAAAAATATCCCTCCATACTATTTGGGTTTTAAATTGCCTTAGGCTACTAAGGCTTCTCAGGCCTCGTGACATCTCAAGTTGATTCTCTGTTTCATCGAAGGATTCAGAACTTGCAAGTATTTTGGAATGAATCACATTTTCCTTATTTATTGGCTCTGGCGCCTGGGTTTGATTGTTGAAGTGTGTGACGTCATCCTTTATAAGATCTTTGAAGCGTTATCATCCTAAGTTTTGTTTGAGTACACTTTCAATCATCAACTAAGATTTAGTGGGCTAAAGATTCTTATGGTCACTCTTATTTCCATGTTTCAAACGATACATTCATCAAAGGATTCCTCAAAGCGTCGATTACTATATTAAATCAAGATACCTTTGTTGAATCAAAGTATAAGTGCCAAGATATTTGTTAGTAGAATGTTACTTATTGATGGGGATTGAAGATTTGGATCATTGTGAATTCATTATTGTAGGAGTGTTCATTAAAGTAATTATTTTGATTCAATTTGCTAAAGTGATTTCATATTCCAAAGATGGAAGTTTTGTTCGTTTGAAATGAATAATAAGTTGAATTCCAGTTCAAAGGATGAATACGAATGTTAAAGATCAAAGATCTCAACTTGTTTTTTACAAGCACTATGGAAAAGAGGAGAGGATCTCAAGTTCTAAAACTTCATTGATTACAGGAATACATTAATATTTCAAGTGTTTCAAGCAATAATGAATTCGAGAGTTCACATAAGTTTCAAATTATCCTACAAATTCATTTACAAATTTGAATCATGAGTTTCCTATTTTGTTCTAAAGAGACATAAAAAAGGGACTCTTCTTCAATCTTCGAGTTCCTCATGACCATTGCCTCAGTTTCATCTTCCAAATCTTCCTTCATCATCTTTCCAAACTCATATCAATGCATCCATCACATGAAACAAAAATAAAAAGGAATTAGTTGGCAAAACAATCAAATGTGAACAAGAAAATTTGCAAAGTATTTTAGATCATCATTAGGGCTTTTGTTTAAGGAATCAAAAAAAGGTTTGTTGCTCACTAAAACCTCATAAATAAGTTTTAATCATGGGCCAGATTCTCTACTATAAATCACAAAAAGTTCATTTTTGGTTCACAATAGAAAAAAAAGTCACTACCATGAAATAGAAATGCAAACAAAATTCCATCACAATCCAGCCCAATAAGCAAGATAATTGCAAAGCCCAAAGGCCTTATACAATATTGTTCTATCATTGGCCTAGAAACATGTCTACTGCAAATCACAAAGCAAGTTTGGTTCATAAAAGACAAAGGAAAATCAAAAGATCCAAATCAGAATCTCAAACTCAACATCATGTTTTCACGCAAACAATCCAAAAGCCTCATATTTGTGTTGTTTCAATCAAAAAACCAGAACTGTAATGTAAAATCATGGGCCTAGCCCTACTAGAGAATATCAAAACAATGCATTTGTTTGGTTCACAGTAAAGGATAAAGTTCAAAAGATATTGTACTACACAAGTACAAAATTAAAAGTCAGCAAGCAACCATAACAGAAAACCAAGGCCAGTACAGAAAAGCCAACAACAAGTACAAGTGCGAAAAGAAGCTAGCAACTAAGATCCCGTAGATAACTACAGATGAAAATGGTGCTAACACCTTCCCTTTTAATAACCTACTCCCCAAACTCAAGAAAATTCTCAAAAGGTCTTTCCTGTTCTTTTCACCCTTTCCTTTATTGTATAAAAGAAAAGTCGATAATGACTCTTGCTATCCGCAACAATTGCGATAAAACGCAAAACACCAAAGTCAGTTCTCCCACCATAATACAATAGTTAATCCCTCAACTATTACTATCTCAAATATTATGTTAGTTAAAGGTCTTAGACATAATCTTCTTAATGTCATACCCTAAATTTTCCCGCCCCATTTCAAAAATTCAAATGATATTCAAAATTGGATTTTATAAATTTCTTTGGTTTATTTAACCTAACATTTTGTGTTTTATAAATATTCGTTTTTAATTTTATTTTTTCTATTTAAAAAATATATAATAGTTTATTTTATTTTTCAAATAGAAAATATTTTCTCGCCTTCATACACTTTCAATTAGCTTTTTATTTTGAATAAGTAATATAACATAATTGGTAAGGTATAAAGCTTACAAGTATAAGGTCACGATTTTTAATCTCACACGTTCCACTTTGGATATTTTTTTCTACCTTATTTTCACTATGATATTTTCAAACAAATTGACTGATAATTTTCATATGAGGCCACCCTTTCACCCGTTTATTTTCAATTTTATTATTTTATTTTTTATTTGTTTGCTTTTACACCATATGATGATAATTATCTGTTGGTTCTTTTGTTAAATTAATTAGTTATATTATCGTAATAGCAATTTTTTATATGAGACCAACTTTTTCAGACATAATTTTCATTCCGTGAAAATATTCCACGAGACCAATTCATTCACAACTTTCCACACGCGAGCAATTTTTTAAACCTGAAAACCTTCATTCACTAATTTTTTATACAATACATACAAAACCTTTTTTCCAAGAGTCAAACCTATTGTTTTTGGGTCAAATCCTTGTATACTCTACTCACCCTTTTGATTTTTTACAGAAAGAACATCAACCACAACTTTAACCATTCAACCAAAAGACACTATCAACCTGCAAAAATTCCATGCATAATTGTTTTAAACCATACCATGAATATCCAAACCTTCCCTTGTTCATAAATCACTACTAAAAAATTCATCACTAAATTCATCCCTTCCAAGTCTCATAGCAATATCATAAACTATTAACACAATCCTCACAAATTCAATACTTTCCTTCATAAAGTCCTAACATGAAATTCTAACAAATTTTTTACCAAAAATCCAAATTTAAACATTAATTGAAACTTATAACATAACAACTTGTACAAAATTTTCTTTTTATTGTTGTTTTGCAGAAGAAAAATAATTGGATTTGAAGCCGACGGATCTCCGACGTTAATCTCGAACCGCACTCCGCCGAAATGTCACCATCCGCCCCCGACTTCACAGACTCAACATCAACCTGTAAATGTCAAGTGAAAAAAAACTGAATTCAAAGGTTCAACACAATTAACAGAGGAAAAAATTGAGAAGTTTTCCCTAGAATCTAATACAACAACACAACCTTGCAACAAATCAACAAAAAAATAAAAGTGAAGAACCCTCCGAAGCTGAACTGCGAAAATGTAACTGCTGCTAGAGGATGGCATCACCGCTGCAACATGAATCATAAATCTGGACGACAAATTCCTCCAATCCGAAACCACACTACTCCTCCGTAAGCAATTCCTCACCGCTCCCTCCGTGCTCAGATCATCCGTCGATGCACAGATTTCTGGCCGCAACATCTACAAGAAGTCCTACAATTCGCGTCTCAGTCAAACGCCGACACCCTCCTGACGCGGTTACTCGATCCTCACCGATGCGGTAAGCTCTTTTCTCATTTTTTCCTCTTCTTTTTTGGCTATTTGCAACTATTTTGTAATTTGATAGGAGAATGGAAGAGAAAGATTTTGGCTTGGAGAAGGAAATGGCAATTGGAAAATGAAGAACGGTGAAAGAAAAATGTTCTGAGTATTTGATAAATCTCTCGGTATCATTTTGTTATATCTATTGATTTATTTATTTATTTTTATTTTTATTCAGTGCAATGCAACTTGTCGCTTTTTTATTGGCTATTGGAATAAGATGAAAAGTCAAAAACAACTTTTTCTTCTTATTTTTGTTGATCAGGAAAAAAGAGAAATGAGAGGTTTAGATCTTAGTTTTTATTTCATTAAATAAATTAGGTTAATATTTTACCTTTTTTTAATATTTATTAGTTAAAAATGAGGTGCCCCCAATGTCTTCTTTTTTTTTGTTTTGTTTTTTATCGTCAGATTTTTTATTAGGTTTTTAATTTAATCTAGTTTAATTGGGCCTATAGTATAATTTGGTTTTATTTTGAATTAGGTTTTATGATTTAATTTAGTGAATTTTAAAAATACGAAAAAGATATTTTTCTTTTAAGTATAAAAAATACATAAAATATGTATCTTTTAAAATTAATTAAACTTTTTTATAAATAATAGGATTTCACATCCTCAAATGATTAATTGGTCGACTTGACATCGTACTAATTAATTATCCAAATCAAAACAATTAAAATTCACGCGAACTTGGTTTTGCTCAACGCAATAATCAAACATTGTCGCTCAACGCTATGAATAAATCAAATCAATTACTTTTTCCCGCACGATTTAATTTTTGATAAAGATCAACTCTTTTTCAATCAAATCAAATTTAAAACAGCTAACCAATTACAAACATTTTTTTTACTAACTTAATAAAAACTTTAAGATGTTATCAAAAGAGGATTAAATAGAATTGTATTCAAACTTAACTTTGAACTGCGACTATGATCACTCAATTTTCAAACCAAGACAAGGTTCAGGGATAATTTGAAAGCAATTCTACACAATCCTATAAAAAATACCTACCAAACACATATGAACTATGAAATTGGACTCTGATTCTTCACAAGGAGAGACGTAAGCACGCGGCTAAAACCAAAGTGAACTTACGGACCTACATACTAAGGATACCCTTCACATCCTATCCTTCATAGGGAACCTTCACGTGAAGGATATTATCAAAATCCCTACATCCACAAGGGTTTTCCTTTTGTTAATTTTCTATCCCAAAAACCGCAAGGGTTTCCTTTCATATATCAATATCTCTAAACATGTTTAGGTTTCATTCACTAAACCCACAAGAGTTTCAGTTTTTCAAATACAATCCTTAGGCCCGTAGGGACTTCCATGTGTCTGTTACAATCCCTAGTCCGTAGGGGTTCCTTTTTGTGCGTCACAATCCCTAGCTTGTAGGGGTTCCCTTTTGTCTTTTACTATCTATAGTCCATAAGGGTTTCCCTAGGCTGTAGGACTTCCAGTTGCCTATTATAATTCTTATCATGTAGGACTTCCATTGGTTTATCACAATTCTTAGCCTGTAGGAATTTCTGTATGTCTATTTTAATCCCTAGCCTCATAGTCCTTGAGGAGTTTCCTTGTGCCCGTCACAATCCCTGAGTCAGTATAGGGAATCCTCACTTCAATATGGGTTCTTAATCTCTTTTAGGTTTCCTTAGGTTTTCCATAATCTCTATCCCTAAGTTCGTAGGGGTCTAATTATGTTCATCCTTATCCTACGCCCGTGTTGCATTGCATATCCGTGAAACTTTTAGCATCCCTTAAAAACAAAAATATTTTTGCAAACTCATGCATTTCCATACATAGATACATACATACATGTAAACCTCATATGTGTTTCCAGCTTCTCCCTTGACCAACATTAATCCAGCTAGCAGATTTCTCGATGCTCGAGAATAAATTCCAAGCATACTTCAAGAAAGTTGTGAAGGAATTCAAGTAAATCCTAAATTGTTGAAGGAGAAAGTCTATCGTTGAGCTTGGTCCTTTAAGTCCTAAAAAGTATATAAGGCAATCCTTCTTCATACAAGCCAAAGGCCTGCAACGCCTCTATAACACGGTGGGAGAACTAACTTGGTTGTTTGTGTTTGATTACAAATGTTGCGGTTAGCAAGAGTTGTCACCGACTTTTCTTTTATCCAAAAGGAAAGGTTGAAAAGAACAGGAAAGACCTTTGAGATGTTTTCTTGAGTTCGGGGGGTAGATTATGAAAAGGGAATGTATTAGCATCTTTTTCATCCGTAGTTATGTACGGGCTCTTAGTTGCTTGCTAGATCACTTGCTTTTATTTAAAAATATGCTTTGTGTGGTTTTTAAAAGTATTTTGAAAAGGCGCCATCGTTTAGGCAAAATTTGTAATGATTATCGTTCGTAAGAATGTATACAAAGTGTTGATCTTTTGCAAATGTTTCAAGTTTGAAAGGTGTTTTGAAAGTGTTGGTGTTTGTTTTAAAAATAGCAAGGATATTTTGGTTTGAAAATGAGCAAGCAACTAGGAACATTCTACCTACTCAAAAGTCTTTCTTGTTTATTTTCTCTTTCCTTTGACATTGTTATCTTACCATTGATTTGGTAAGAAACCCTATCTTTGGATGTAAAAGGGACGGGAAAGGGTCATCGTATAGTCATGAATAGCAATGTTGTAAGATGTCTTAGCATTTTCTTTGAGGGACTGAGATCATTTTTGAAAGAAAACTTTGATAGCGTCATCGAGAGACTATGATATTGTATTTTTTGATTGCTTTTGCTAAGATACCCTACATGCATAATATGACCATTTTCATAAGGCAACAGAGTGGATTTATCCTAAGGGTGTAAGTGTGCAAGTGTATTGATTTACATACATTGTTTTGTCTTTGAATTAGGGTTTTCTAAGCATTGATTTTATCTTTCCATACAAACCCTAATTTACTAGCATTTATATATAAAGCATTAAATTGCGGAAAATAAAAATACTAAGCTATTACATCATTAGGGGAGGGGGTATACAAATTTACAAATGGGGATTTTGCAAGAAAATTAAACCTAATTAACTATTACAACCCTGTTGAATAATATACAAGAATTGAATAAATAACAATGTACAAATGCAAATGAAAAAGAAATGATTTTTGTTTGGTTTTTTTATGAAAGGGGTTTAGTCTTGACCTAATTTAGAAAATGATTAATTAAAAAAATTAACAAAACTTAAACCTAAATTAATTAAGAAAGAAATTAAGTTAAAAATGTTTTTAGGTTTTTTTATGAAAAGGTTTTAAATTAATAATAATAATATAAAAATTAATTAATTAAAAGAAAACCTAAGTTCTAAATTTATTTTAATTAAGAAATCAAAAACCTAAATCTAATTATTATTTATTAAAAAAAGAAATTAAATTGTTAAGAAAATAGTTTTTTCTTTTTGTTTTATAAAGAAATAAACTAAATAAGTGTAAAAATGATAAACAAAATATTTTGGGATTTTTTTATTAGTAAAAATAATAATAATAATAATAATAATAATAATAATAATAATAATAATAATAATAATAATAATAAAGAAAATAAAAATATAATATAAAATATAAAAGAAAATAAATAAAATAAAAAAATAAAAACAAAAAGGTTTGGGTCAGGGGCATGAAAATAGGTAGGGGGTCAACAATCACCAAAAATGTCTAAGTCCAATGATGGAGGCCTGTGTACCTGTTTGCAGGAACAAAAAAGAAGAAAATATGTGAAAAGTGAACAAAAGGGTACCACTGGGGCTCGAACTCAGGTCCCATAGGTTAACAGGCGCGCTTTACCACTGGGGTGGCTATACATCCGTTTATTAATACAAAACCATAAATATATATTGGAAAACAACTCCATGGCTGTTATCTTCTTCTTCCTCGCGGCAGAAGCCATTGCCATACTTTTGAATGTTCTAACTTCTTCATTTCTCAACCAAATTGAAAAATACAAACATGAAACTTGCTTGAAATTTCAATACGAATTCAACCACGTAAATAACTAAAGCTATAAATCACAAATGAATGAGAATTTTGTTGGCCCTAAACTGAAACCTAATTTTTTCAGAAACTTCAACTCCAAAATTCTCTAAGCCCAGGCCATATAAATTCAAACTATGGATATGTACAATTTCGTGGCAACGGTATCTACATTTTATCTTTGAAAATGGAAGCCTAACAATTCCTATATGAATAGTTCAAAAGTCAGAAAACTCACCTTGCAAGAGGGTATCGTGTTTTGAGTTTGAGCATCTTTCAATGAGTCCTAGTGATTGGGTTAGCTTCCTCAAGTTCCCAGGAAGTTAATGTGATGCTTGGCTTGAGCTGAAAGTGGCTGAGGAGTTCTGGAGAAGTTCACTTGCAAAGCTCTGTTTTTGAAAATGGAACTTGATGATGGAGGTGTTACAGTTAGGCAAAAGGACTTTGGATGGTTTGTATTTGATGTTTAGAAGCTTTAGGAACCAAAAGGCTTGGAAACGCACGAGGGAGATGTGAGTTTCAAGTTTTTGGTCAAATTATGCAACAATGGAGTTTTTGTGTGTGATTCTGAGTTCTAAGGAGTTTGAGGGCTTAAGCATGTGTGCCTTTTCTTGCAAATGATTTGTGTATATGTATGGAAAATATTGTGAGGCTTGAGAGGGTCAAAATCACACAAGTAAGAGTTATGGGATTTTGCTTGTTTTTGAAGCAAGCTTGAAACATCTTGTTTCAATGTGAAGTACCAAGATTGCAGGGTGGTTGTAACCTTTAAACATGCTATTTCTAATTGTGTAGGGAAAGCATGTGCAGAAAGGACAAGTTCAAGGCTCAAGACAAAACTGATTTTGTGATTAAAGCAACTTTACTAGAATGGAATGGTTACTTTCTTCATAAAATGGAAATAAG